AAGTCTAGATTTGCAACTGAAAACAGCTGCTATTTGGCTTACTCACTTTCTAGTTCTTGAACCAAAGTAAGCAGTATGTCCTACCAGAATCTCAAGATCTGGAAAAACATACCAGCTTTCATTAACTCTGAGACCAAGAGTTCTCTGCTGATTCAAGTTTCAGCGAGATTTTTCCCTGAGAAAATATATCAGAACTGCCTGACAATGCCCAGAAACAGCTGCCTCTTACTTGGTTGGTATTTTTGGCCACAGTTTATTTTTTCTTGGGAGAAAAAAAATATGTGACCATTAGATGTAAAACAAACATATTTATTCACCTAGAAGCATTATCTAACCATATTAGTCGCAAAAACTGATGTTGTGCAAAGCATATCACATTTATCCCCTCAAGGATGTGGTTCTGGTATGGTTTGCATCACCAGGAAAGCACATCTGGATGTGGTAATGAGATTTATTGTGCAGGGAAAGTCCAGGAGTGCCTAAAACCAACTTAGCATAAGAACTTTTACTACTTTGGGTTGCCATGGAATTGACACAGGTGTAAGGACAGTTTTTCTTTCTACCACCCACCTGGCTGGGCACTAAATACTCAGGCTGCTCATGAGGCATCTCAGCAGAGCTCTGGGGAAATGGTGGTGAGTTGAAAGGCATGAATCTCTTTCTGGATAACAGAAAATCATCTAAGAACAAGAAAGCAAACCTGCTAATGCTGAAAGATAAGCTGCAAGCATGTTCCTTGTCTGAAGACAGGTACAGCTTGCTTTCTTCAAGTTATGATTTCCATTGTTCAGTAACCTCAGATGTACTGAGTTGTTTTATACTGCTTTTGAACTGATAGTATACCATTTCTGCCTTGAAATGAGATTTGGAAAATGCAAAAAGGCAGCTCTGGAGAAGAGTTATCAAAACATGTTACTAAGTTTTTCTTATTTCCAAAAACTGAGTAACATTTACACTATGGGCAAGGAAGCCAAAACAGGCAACAAGGTAGAAATGGTATGCGGAAACAGCAAATATGCAGAAAACAGAAATACAGTTTATTCTAATATTTACCCATATTCTAATGCTTCAGTCAAGAAGACTGAACACTTTGACACAAGTTGAACAGTCTTTGCCAGCCAGACTGTTTGATACTGTGTTGGCTCTGTGACAAAGCCAGTCTATACAGGAACATTGGTATTGTTTTCTGATCAAAGTGAGCCCTAATGGTATTAAACCTGAGTTGTGGTCTGACATGCTTTCCTCCCTCAGATATCACTTCTCCACTTTACCACCAGCTTTTTCTTGAGCTATTGCAGTATGATATTCTGCTAGCTTAAAGCATGGTCAGACTTTTATTTCAGATAATAAGAATTGATTTTCATATATATCCTGTTATGTTTGGTAAGGAGACATGAGGTTGTGCATGTACAGAAAAGGTAGCTTTTAGGGTATGGTGATATTCAGTTTCTGTTGACTCCAATGATATTGCAAGAGAAATAGGAAGCAGAAGAGCTTTAACAATTTTTTAATTAAACCCTCATGCAGCATAATACTTTAATACGTCTTTAAAACTAAATTTGTTAATGTTCCTTTTATAAAGGCAGACATGAAACAACTGTGACTATAGCAGAATATGAGTGGGTGACCCCAGTAACACATGCAGCATTCTACAGAGGATGAGATGCTGCTCATTTTTTTATCACCTTATACTTCTCTTTGCTTTCACAGATAGTAAAATGGTCTTATAATTTCAAATAAAACTGATTAGATATTATGAAATCAAACATCAGTTGCTCAGAAAACATAGCTCCATTGACAGCAACTGAAGCACAATAGATTTAAGCAACTTCATCATTCAAATCTCAGTTTGCTCATGCTAGCTTCTCTGCTCTGATGTGACACAACCCATCAAACAGCACTTTACAGAGCACTTACCAAAAGAGTTAAGAGTTTATTTACTGCTATCATAGAATCACAGGATATGCTGAGTTAGAAGGGACCCAGAAAGATCTTCAAGTCCAACTCTTGGCCCTGCACAAGACCATCCCTAAAGAGACTGTTGCTTCACAAACTTATATTGTCTACTGCAATCACTGTTACTGCTGCAATTCAAATTTCTTTTTTGTTGACTTTGATTGCAATTATATTTGACACCAACCAGAGTGAACATCAGAAAATGCAACAGTAAATGATGCTACAGGCTGGATATTAACTCCTGTAGTCACATATATCACCTGCCCTTAAATCATTCAGTGTGGTCTAACACTGTCTCCGTGGAAGCAAGGAAATCAAGCAGACTCTTCTTAAAGTTTTTGAGTGCACGTCATTAGTTTAAAAGGACTGAGCCTTAGGAGACATTCCATCTTCACTTTATAGCACGATTGACCTGACCTAAGTCAGTGATGACATATTCCTGTCAAAGCTGTAGTAGATATAGGGGATGGATGGGAAGACTTAGTAGAAAACAACTTTTAGATCTTTGTACAGAAGAACTCAAACTGAATTTATTATGAAATTCTGAAATGTCCAAACACATTTTACTGCCTTCTGGTTTCCAGATGGGTCCACATCCAGATCAGAATACCACAAAAATGCTGCTTTTTTCCTGCTGCAATCAGAAGCAGCTGCAACAGAAGGCTATAGAAAAGTCTGATTCTTAGAAAATGCCTGTCTCTGTTTTTCAAAAAAAAGAGAAGTTTAGATAATTAGATTAAACTTTGCAGGGGCATCCAAACATTTAGAATTGCATTAGGACTTCAAACTCTTGGAAGAATATTCTTCACTAGCTGTTTGCTCCTAATGAAGGAAGTAGAGTACTCCAGTGGGTAAAATCCACAAGATAGGACTCTAATTAAAAAAGGTTTGACAGTATCACTGGAATTCTTTGCTGCTCAGTTTCCCTGTTGATATAGGGAAACACATTTCTAAAGAAATTTTTTGGAGTGTCAAGTTAGCAGCCTTACTATTATTATTCTTTTATTACATGCAACCATGTGCAGTGATGAAGTTACTATTTTTGGAGACAAATTGCATTTAACATGTCACTGAATTCTATTCAAAATCCAATAAGTGATCAGCATTTTGGGGTTAAATCAGCAAGGTGTCCAGAATCCCTAGCACTAGATGACTCAGAAATTTGAAGGTATACAATAATTTCAGAAGCTGTACAGCATCTTGCAAGATTAAGACTATAAGGATTTTTTAGCATTTCCACTTCCTTTGTAAATCTATTGTCTGCCTTTCCAATCTGGCTTTACAGTCCTTGTATTCAGCAGGTTTACACAGGCACCTGCACACAACCTGTTCAAAACACTTGCCCATATCAATCACACCACATGGAAATATGCATTTAGGTGCTCATACATGAGCCACGTGGTGAAGGGCAGGAAAATGGAGCTGTTGTAAAGTTTTATTTTTGTCTGACTCTACATAAAATTTTAAAAATAGGACAAGATTATAATTTAACCAAAGAATAATTTCATTAAGATTAGTTCCCAGTATCCAGAAAGAGTGGATAATATCTAAATTAATAAATATAAATAACTGAAGATGAATACTAAGTTGGGCTTGTATGGAAGTTGACTGAAACTTATAGCAATCCTGACTCATAATAAAAATGATTTATTTAAAGATTTATTACGAACATTGCAGGAAAGGTGGTAAAAGACATGCACCGTTTTGTTTACAGTAAAATTTCCTGTAAATTAAAGAGTTCTTATTATCTGATTGGTTTTGATTTGGTATTGTACCAGGTATCTGTTTATAAAAGGAAATGTGATGGTACAAAGTGTACAAAGTGAATTGCAAAAGAGATTAACAGTCAGGGTGATTTTGTTTTAAATTAAGTCCTAGCAACAGACACTGTAGATCCCACTAGGGTAAGGCAAGTCAGTCTAAGGCAGATTTTTCATGTGCCATTACTGAGAGCTGAACTGCTCGAAATTGAGGCCAGAAAGCTACTCTCCAAAATGGGATCGGGGTTGCACGGGTCACTCTCAGGGTCAGAAGATGATAACCATAACAATAGGACAGACTTGAACTTCCCTGATCTGTGTGCTGAACTGTAGTGACCTCAGCTCCAAGAGCCAGGCTCTCAAAATGCTTTTATCTGTATATTTCTGAGGAATTTCAGCTGCTGGTGATGTTGATCAGACCTGGGGACCAGCAGCACAGTGAAGCAAATAGAGATCCTGAAAGATCTACGACAGTTTTGTTTCACTGAGGTGCCAGTGCACACAGTAATGGCCTTAGAGGCACATCAGTGAGAAAAAACCTGAACTGGTTTTAAAAAGAGAATCAGGTGATTAAGAGATAAGACAGGAAAAAATGTTGCAGAGCACTACAAAGGAAAAATTTGATATAAAGTAGGCACTATGTTTCAAAGGGATTATGTGTTTGGTATTTTTCCATTTTTGCAGAGCTTTTTTGCTTATAATACTGCCAAAATAGCTTATTAAAGAACTTTTCTGAAGTCACATTTATGTGACAAAGTATGTTGCAACCTCAAGTCATTCCATCCCACAGAAAATTTTCTGCAGGGAGTCTTGGATGAAGATAGTGTATTCACAGTTGAACAGCAGTAATGAAAACACACATTCCATGTTTCATCAGAAAACTAGAAAAGAACCTGTTTTGTAGAAGCAATTCCCTTGGTTGAATTAGCCCTGGAGCCACCCTGGCATCTCTAGAGATTGGACTTTACAGGTCTGCAAATCCTCCACCCAAGGAAAGAAAATGTTTGTGGATGGAAGGGCTGGATCTGCATCATATTAATTCTCTTTCTACATATAACAAAAGATTTACATGGAGTATAAAATTGTGAAAATATTGACATTATCTGAAGGCCGAAAATTACACGTATTCATTGGGCTTACTCCAAACAGTCCTAAGATCTTTATCTGATATTTAGTGCTATGACATTAATGCTGGATTTTTAAAATCATGTAGTTAATAAAACCAGTCTGCAGACAATCCTGTGTACACAAGTTCAGTGGTCTAGAAGGTATGTTGGCACCTACCTGGGGGCACATGTTCATTCATGATGACGAGTGATGCTGGTGTAGGCCGTCTTTTCCTTATCTGTAACAGGTATAAACCAAGGAGAGTCATTAGGGTCCATCAGCTGCTCCACATACAAAGCAAAGCAAAAAATCCATCTAGTGTCCTCCTGAGTATAGACCAGGCAAAGTTACAAGAGAAACTATTTAAAGAACAGCAGCACTTCACTGTCTTTCTGACAGTTCGTGTAGTCTGACAGTGATCAGGGTCATGCTCTTGCTTGTACCGGCAGAGCAAAGGAATGGGGAAAGCTTTCCAAAATACCTTTAGGATATTGTAATCATCTTAAGTTTTTGGATACGCATTGCTGACAAGTATCAGTCATATCTTAAAATATTGACATTTAGCTTTGTGTCAGAAAGATGATTGCAGTCGTTTGTGAGCTTGTATGTGCAAATCCCTAGTGCTGTCATAGTTCTCACAAGTAATAATTAGTAATATTTTGCATGTGCACTTCTGAGTTGATATTACAGGTATGCCTTCCAATGAATTTATATTTCTAAACTGTGGCCAGAGGTGTAACTACTGTTCTTTAACTTAAAAAACCTCCAGTATTTAAGATTTTTAAAAAAGTATTTCCAAAAAGCACTATACAGCAGATCTTTACATACCAATATATAATCCTGAATTGTATGCAGTTTTTCGTATTCAGAGCTTATCTGGGTAACTACTTTTGTTCCATTAACAGTGGCTGAACTGCATGGTATTGGACTCCCCTCCTATAATGCACACATTTGCACTGAAAGCTTTTTGTTGTTTCACTAAAGCCTCCAGGCTTGATATTCTATTGAATTTAAGAGAGGGACCAAGAGTATTTAAGCTAGAAACCATTCTGACACAAAACCTCAATGTCAATGCATTTGCTCTTTTTTATTTGCTGATCCAACATCTGTATTTAGTTGGATTTAAATTTTGTTTTCAGAGGTGTAAGTGGAAAATTACATTAATCAGGTTAATGGGTTTATTCCAGATTAGCATAACTGCAGCTGACAGCAGAATTTACTATTTTAATTTCATCATACAGCCACAGTGAAACTGTATCACACTTGGAATTAAACTCACAACACACACACAAAAAAGGACTGCTCATAAATACCAGGCAGAATTTGGGCCACCGCATTTCAAAAGCCATGGGAATTCCAGGAAATCCTAATCCTATGGTTCTCACATATTTCAGAAAAATACCAGAACACATTCTGCTTGAATTTATTGCAGAACTGTTCAATAAAGTATGGACATCTTGCATTTCAGAAGCACCTATGGGCAAAATTAAGACCGGTAGCAATTCTCTTCTGCACACTTCTAATATTTTGCTTTCAGTGGTCACTCATAACTCATTGTTTTCTGGCAAAAGTGTCTTCCTTTTAAGAGACATGAAATCAGAATATTCAGGAAACCAGATAGGTGTAAAGAATTTCATAGCTAATGGTACGGAACAGTCAAGGTTATAATATTCCCCTGGTATCATCTAAAACTAGACTTACCCAAATAGAAGCAAATGTTGAGAAGGACTTGTACTGAGAGAAATATACTGGGTCACCTAATTAGGATTTATCCAGGTTTTCTCCCAAGACTCCCTGTGAATCTTTTTATGCGCGTCTACACACACCCGTACACAATAATAGATACCTTTTTCTCTTTAGATGTCTGTACTGCTACACAGATATATATTATGTGTATGTTTTGGGAGTGAGTCGAAACCTAAAATAGTACATACATAATTCCAGTGGACACAAGTCAGGTATATTTCTAAATGTGTATATTTTTCAAACATGTAAAGCACTGTAAGAATGACATAAAGAAGACTGTATAAAAATCATGAGAAATACAGGAAGTAACTGAAGTGATGACTAGAGTGCAAAACATAACTAGTATTTTCTCATGTAAAATAAATGAGAAATAAGAGGTCTTCTGCCCAATGTATCTGTTAGGTACCTATTATCAGCTTCATGTTTTGCTTTATGTACAAATAATATACTTGAGTTAATTTGTTAAGAATGTGTATTCATGTGAAGTGTATGCATTAGGGTACAAGTGCAGTTATAGAAAGGCACAAAAAATATATACTGAATAAACCTACCCAACTTAAAGAAGCCTTATTCTGGCTAGAGGACATATCCTTCTCCCTCTTTAGGTATATCCAGATATCGCTATCACCTCCAGAGCATTTAATCTACAGTTTCACTAATATAAGTTAGAAAAGCATTTAGGCCACAAGTATTACCTGTTCTCACCCCACATTTTGCCCCCATTCCTACCCCATTCCCTCAAAATAGCAAAAGAAACTCATCTTCCTTACCTGCTCAGCTGCCTCTGGATCTATTTGACTCTGAAACAGGGGCACAGCAAACTGTATTTTTTTGGGGCTGTTGGGCTCCATTGTGATGCTGAGGTGAGTCAGACGAGAGAAGAGCCTGGAGCTTGAGACTGGGTCTGTGCCTCTCGCCAGGCGCCGTCCCCACAGCCGGGCTGAGTGCTCCGCAGTAACAGCTGTAACTCCCGACTTAGCACGGGAGTCTGCGTGAGTCGAGCAACTCCCTTATTCCACATCCACAGAGATGCCAATAGCTTGGCTATTTTCTTTTTTTTTTTCCCCCCTCTCCCCTCTCTTCAGCAGTCCTTCAGATCCTCTCAGCAGAAAGCTGAAAGGAACAATAAGCTAATTGTGGACCAGCTCACTTCTACATATGCCAAGCATTCACTCAGAAGCTAATTGAAAATGCAATACTAGCATTGCATGGCCTGGAGCCCTGGGATTTGAAAAAGAGGATCTCTCCACCATATATTACTAACTGGCTGCTCAGAAGTGCAATGCAAGCTCCCTCTGAGTATTGCTGATGGGCTCTTAATTATTGATGAACACAAATCAGGAAGTTTTCAGATTTTGGGGGTGGAGGTAGCAGGAGGGGTGGATGCAATAATTCGATCTCTGTTACAGTATGCTGGAACTGCTCTCCTCTTCTCATGTATCAAACAACTGCCTTTGATCTTTCAAATCTTTTTAAAATCGTACAGGTTCAGAAAAATCTTATAGGAAGATTTTTTGATGATGATGCTATGCAGATGAACCTTCATGAAGCTTCTCTGGTGTGCTAAGTAGGTTTGCACATTTAGACTGTGATTTCTTTTGGTGGACTCCATTTCACATGACTCCAGATACTGAGAACATCCACATTTAAGCCAGCTGTCTGGGCTCCCTCATGCTAAACATATCAATGGGCATTTAATTATATCCTAGTTAAGCAGAATATAGTGTTTACTTGAGATTACACTTTCTCTCCGCTAACTTTAGAAAAAGGAAAGATGATTCTAGTTATCTCACTTTTAGATGGCTAAAATTCAGAGGCCAAATACTATTTCAGGGTACAAAATCTGTGCTTTCTTCCAAGACCAGGAAAATAATTTGGTCAACCATATCAACAGTACTCTCTTGTGAATATAATTATTTTCACTTGTCATTTCGTGTTAATTCAAAAGAAGTGTGTGAAATGATACACAGCAACCACTGGCTTAACCTATCCCTTTGTAAAACTCAGAGGAATTTGAAAACATGTTCTTTACTCAAGCCACTGAGAGCACTAAGGATTTTCACAGCTCACCACAAGCTTATTCAGTCACTGAGTATTTTCCCACCTGTGCCAATGGAGGAGGCAGGGAAGGAGCAAGGATCGTGATTAAGAATAATGCTCTCGCTGTACACAGCAGAAAAAAACCAGCAAGTCAGGGACAGAATACTTGTTTGGCTTTCATTTTTACAAATCAGAACTGCGACACATCATCAGAATACTGGAGCATTTCTGAACAGAGGCAAGCACACAAGCCAGCTCCTTTATGAAGAACCTGGCAAAGCCCAGGAGGTGAGGATACACTGAAAATTAGGGATCCAGTTGGCTCAGGGATCAAAAATAATTCTCGGTGAGGGCTAAAATTCCCCTCCTCATCCAAATCAAAACTGCTGTGAACCATAGTGGTTTCCAGCTGACAGTTAGTAGCTGGCAACCTTCCTGTTTGATTTCTTGTGATAGCTTTAGGTGGCATTAACTTAGAATTGTGGAATCACAGAAGAGTCTTTCTTCTTGGTGGGAGCTTTCTGAGGATACCTGGCCCCTCCTGATGCTTGAAGCAGGGTCCAAGATCAGGTTATTCTGGGCCCTCTCAATCTGAGTCCTGAATATTTTCGGTGCTAAGGTGAAATGCTCAGTTTCATTTACCAAAACAAAGGAAAGAGATGCACAGAATACTGATGTTCAGTGTTTTGTATGATGATTTTTAAGCCTTCACTACTCTCACATAGACAAAACATAATTTGCTTTGTAGACTTCCACAGACAATTAGAATCAGAGTGCAATTGCAGCAGTTCTGCTGGCACAACTAAGTCTAAGACACTAATGTAAGAGAGAGGCAGATGCTGCTTTCACTAAGGACAATTAGAGAGTTGTTTTCAGGACCATCTAATTATCCAGTTTCACAAGTCCTTCATGCACAGACATGCACGATGACAGCTTCAGACATACCAGGGACATATACACACATACAGGGATATACCAGGGACATAAACAGGGATCTGAAGTTGTGGGTTTCCTCTTGAATTTTCATACTTAAAAGAAAATAATTTTTGTTTTCTCCCAGATAACATGAGAAAAATGTTTCCCAGCTGCTTTGCTACTTCATTAATAAATGACATATTTTAAATATCGAATTTCTCTATAAAAAACCTGTTTGCCATAAAATATCAATTCTAGCTATCTCTGAAATTTCATGTATTAAATTGTGCAATTACAATGATAGTAATGTTACTGATTACAGGAGCTATAATTATTACAAAGGCTTAAAAGTTTCTTATGTTAGTGATAAAGTAGTTTGAAAAAAAAACATTCAGAGAGTGAAAATTTATTAAAATATTAAATGCTCAAAGGATTATGGGGTGCATTTCAGCTCTAGATTGCTGGACATTGCTGTCTAAAGGAATCATGTCTCAAATGCATTGCCATCAGTGGTATATGAGGAAAAAGCTAAACAATCTTATGAAGAAACAAACCAACAAAACCACTTCCTGGCAGGTTCCAAAGGGAGCCAGACAACAGGACAGAAAAAGACACAAGGACAAATCCTTAATGGGGCTGCTACATGTGGGAGAGAGGCCCACCAATAATGTGATGTGGAGGTATTCGCTTCCTGCAGGTCTCCTCTCTGTGCCTATTTGGAGCTGGCTGCCCAACAATCTTCACATGCACTGTAACAATAAAAGTATTTTTTAAATAGTATAAAAGGCACATTTGAGAGAGCATTCAGATACAGCATTTCAGGATTACTACCTCAGCTCACTCTTACACCTAATTTGCAGCACTAGAAGTCTCCAGGCAAAATGTGTTTGCATTTTCTATAGACTACATCATAGTCTGGGGAAGAACTGAAACACATTTAAGCACTACCAAGTCCTTTTAGCTCATCTTCTGTTTTTAGTGCACTCCCCACAATGTTTTAAATGCCTTCATGATTCAGCTAAAACTATAATGGAATTAAAAATAATAATAACTTTGCAAGATCTTTCCTTCCTATGTCATTCACTAAGTTCTAATATGAAGCGGTGACCCTAAAATTTTTCGCTCAAACCAGCTAAATACAGGCATTGCAAACAGGGTGACTCCCACTGAGCTGCTGGAAACACAGTCTGCTATTTATATATAGAAAATTCAAAGAATTTAAAATCTGCAAGGGTGGGAGAACATAGAGCAGACCACATCTGTCGCATGAGTACTAAGTGCTGCCACAGGCAGGACAAGAAGAATAATAGAAAGTCTTGTGAAGCAGTGACAGAGTCAGGGGGACATTCAGTGAGAGCTAATGGCCTGGTACTAGCCTAACCCAAATTTCCATCACCAGTTCTCATCCATAGAACATCAGGCTTGGACTTGCCAATGTACTAACTATGTATGTGGATAAGTAAAGCCTAGATTAGTAAAAAAAGTACAACTATTTCTATTTATATAATCTCTTTAGCTAAAATGATAATTTCTTAGCAGTATAGTTTTAATCAGAATCACTTTAGTTACTTTATCGGAGCTCATAAGAACTGATGCTGTCTATCCTGTCTTCCTCTGAAACTCACAGCTCTCCAGACTGCCAAGTAATGTACAAACATTTACTGCTGGATCCTATCCACTACCATCAGTAGAACACACACATCCAAAACATAGGAAATTAGTTGGATTAATGGAACCTAACCTGATTAGATGGTCAAAAGATCCATGTGTAGTATGGGCTATAGTTCAATAGTGCAGAAACAAAAACTCTGGTGGTACTGGTTTTAGGAAGGTATTTCAGCAGGAAGACATGCTAGAATTTGCTTCCTTACCAAGAATAGGGCAAATATAATACATTTTTCAATAAACAGAGGTGTAGGCAATGTATATAGGTTCTAGAATTAAATTATATTGTGTTATTTCCATATTAAATCTTTAATGCAAAAACTGACTACACAACTGAATTAAACAATTATATAAAATTGAGTTACTGTGATTTTTTTTTTAAACAGAAGTTAAAATACAGAACACAGAGATAATGACAGAGGAATCAACTTCCATAGTTTCAGAGTCTGAGTTATAAAACTCCTGTGTGAACACACACCATCAGTCTGAAAATGAAAAGTCATCAACTGGCTATAAAAGCTCAATATGCCAAATTCAGAACATGTTTTTAAATTCTCATTTTTGATTTTGACTCTCCTCCGATGTGCCTTATTTCTTGCCTTCTCCTCCCCCTCTGAGGACATGCTAAACTCAAAGAAGTCGTAGCAATCCTCAACATCCTGCCTACAGCATCTGCAAGGGAGGGATTGAACCAGCTGCACGTGTATTTCTGGCACACCTTGAGGATGGTATCTGGGTTTTGGTGACCTGGAGAAGGTGGCTGAGGCACAATTGTTTGCCATTTCCTATACAGGTGCTGCCTGCAGCAGCAATGGGGCTGCTCCATGAGTAGGGACAAGGAGCTAAGGGCTACAGCAACTCACGGATTTCATAGCAAGCAGAACAGCTACTCACTTATTGAGGCTATTCTGGTTTTTCATCGTGTGGCTCTCTCATTGCTACCTTTTCATTACTTAACTGTTGTCCAGGCTTTCTCCTTTTATCCTGGCAATAAAAGAAAAAAATGTTTCTGTGTATATTCACCCATTCCTCAGCAAGCATCTATGCAGAATCATCTAATATACATGCTATATCAACTTATCAAGTGCTTTTCATTTTTTTAAATTGTCTTCTATTTTTAGAACTTTTCTAACAGTTGTGTGGGTTTATTTTACATCATGAATATGAAGGATTACCATCACATCCAAGATCACATATGAAACATCAAAATAAATTTGCTTTATGTCAAATTACTGAGTTTCCTGTTTTTCCAGAAAATCAAATCATGTCTCATTTTTACATTATCATTTTAATTTAGAAGAAAGTGTTGCATTGCGCTGAAACCATCTAACCAGCAACTATTCTATTTTATGACATCACCCAAGTTTCAGAATTCTAGGTTTGTTCCCTATTGAAAAAATCCTCCAAACCAAAATTTTTTCAGTAGTTTAGGTATGGTTTTGATTTATGCTGCTAGTCATGACTTGAACTACTTGAATTTCCAAACTGGGCTCTTGTTCCTTCTCCCTAATCAGTATCTTCCTATGGCC